CTCCTCTTGGCCGCGCCCCTGAACTCTGTCAACTCTGTGGCTGGGCTCTGTGGCGCACGCTCTGACATACGCTCCAGAAAGGCGCGCTCAGAGCGCGCTTTGCAGAGAGAAAGACAGAGAAAGAGAAGCTTAAAGAGAAAGAGAGAGAGAGAGAGAGAGAGACAGCAGGGCGAGCGCGCGCGCCCGTGTGCTATGGACGGCGCGCTCACGCTCCAGAAAGGTGCGCTTACAGCGTTCTGCAGAGAGAAAGATAGAGAAAGAGAAACTTAAAGAGAGAGAGAGAGAGAGACAGAAAGAAAGAAAGAAAGAAAGAAAGAACGAAAGAACGAAAGAACCAAAGAACGAAAGAAAGAAAGAAAGAAAGAACGAAAGAAAGAAAGAACGAAAGAAAGAAAGAAAGACACAAAGACAGCAGGGCGAGCGCGCGCTCGTGTGCTATGGACGGCTTACTGGGCTCTTGCCCTCCTCTTGTCCTCTGTGCTGGGCTCTGTGGCTGGGCCTTGTCCTCTTCTTGTCCTTGTCTTGGCCGCGCCCCTGAACTCTGTGGCCGGGCTCTGTGGCACGGCTCTGTGTCCGGGTCTTGTCCTCCTCTTGTCCTTGTCTTGGCCACGCCCCTGAACTCTGTGGCTGGTCTCTGTGGCCCGGCTTACTGGAGAGGAGTGTGGCCGAACAAATAGGGATGTCAATGCCGACAAAACTTCATTGATGAAGCAGTTTGCTCTTGGGGTGAAAGTTGGGCGAACCAAGAAATCGATTTTTGACTAATATTGGTTTAAGCAAATCATTTTGAAACTATTTGGGGTCTATGCTTGTATAATTTTTCTTGGTTCCTTTTTTTTGCAGTTGGAAGTTTGTCTTCTTCCGTGTGGGTGGTGGTCATTGTTTTGGGGGTCCTTGGGCTATACCAGCTATACCTGTCCTGTTTGTTGACAGCTGGTTCTTTGAAAGAGGGGATCGGGCAAGGCAAATCTGAGCTGCACCTACAGCCTTTGGATGTTTTCTGCCCCCTCATAAGGATCAACAACTTTGCTGTTTTCGTTCGGTGAATCAAGTCGTTCCAGAGGTTACACTCCCTACCCAGGTTTCGTTCGTGGATAACCTACAAAACCTTTTGATCGGATTGGGGGCACCCCACACCACTGGGGGGATGCCGCACCCTCAAGACTTGGGACGACTGGAGTCAGTTGATGGACTACCTTGCTTCCTTCGTGTGTTTTTGTTTTTTCTAGGTTTCTTGAGGTTCCTAGTTTTGCACTTATCGAAGTCCAGAGAGTCGATAGTGTGGCCATCATCTGACATGGTTTGAATATGTTTGAATTGTAGAAACAGATGGATACAGGTTATCTCCCTTTCTTAAAACGTAATGTGAGAGAGTCAGACTCTCCTGCGGCTGGGTGTCCAAAGTAATGTAAAGATCCATCATCATATGTGATTTTCCAGATGTTTGCCCCTCGAGGTGTTCATGTTCTGGACTTCATGCTTCAAATCTCAGCAATTCTTGGGCTAGATTGTCCCTTCGTATTGTATGTGAGTCTACAATGTCCATGGATGGTCAAAGAAACCATCGACGGAATTTCTGACTCCACCGACCCCCCTGCTCTACCTACGAGGACACCCTGCAGGCCTGGTAGATGTTTTTTGGTTCTAGGTTGGAGGTCATCGCTAGGAACAAGAAGCTACTGGGGGCTCCTGGCATCGCTACTAGGAGCAAGGACGCTACGAACGGGGCTCCTGGCCGTACTACTAGGAGCAAGAAGCTTCTAGGTTGGAGGTCATCGCTAGTAGATAGGAGGTTCCTTTTGCTGGTTGGAGGATGTGATGTGACGTGATCCTCGGCACCCCCGAGCCTCGCAGGTGGCCAACATGCTGAAGGCGGCCAAGATGCGGACACAGTCGACGAGTGGATGGGGGAAGCAACAACTCCACACCTGAACTTCTCTACGTAGTTTGGCTGGGACAATGCATCAAAAAGACAGACCATCCATGAGACTGGAAGACTTACATAAACGGGTCGAAAAGCAGAGATGGCACCAGGAAGCACATCATTTCGCATCGATGGGAAGCACAGGGCACCCACAAAACACCAAACACCTGGTTTGTGCCCCCCCGAACGCGGAAAAAGAACGTGGTTTTGGTGTGTGAAAACCATGTATGTTTCATGGTTTTGAGGGCCACTGGTAGCTTCGAGTCGAATTTAAAGCGAAGATCACTATTGAGCTCTGAAGTGACGAACAACTCCCTTGGCCTCGGCCTATTGGAGGATGAAGTTACGGCCAGCGAAAAAGCAACAAGGGGCTGGCATGTGTCCAAGAAGCAGAGCAAGGTCGCCGCGAAACAGATCCATCTCTCTGAAGCAAAAGGCCAGAACCGGGAGAGATCAAACGAAAGATGAAGAGGAGTAACTGACCCATGAACAAGACCAACATTCCCCTGATGCCTACCCAGTCTAGTGGTTAACCGTTCTTTTCCTGGGGAACCGGTTCGGGAGTCGGGATGTAACTCTTACAGTCCCATGGATGGTCCTTCGTGCAGTTCCCGACGCCCATGTCCCACTCCTCCATTGTCCAAACCACGTCCGTATCAGGTTCAAACCGACGCCCTCGCTGACTTGCACTTGAAGGCAGGTCCTGCCGAGCCACAATCTCTTCGAGGTCCGGCACAGAAAGGATCCCAACCCCTTCGCGGTGTTTGACCTGTTTTGACCTGTTTGGCTCTGTTTGGTCCTTACAAACATGTGGAAAGCTTGGAGTGGGGGGACCCCCTGCGAGACATGATCGGTCGCCCGTTTTGACCTTTAGGACCGAAGCAGAGGGTCCATGAGCATGTCGACTCTGCGGGAGGCTCCACCTTCTTTGCTCACCTGAGCTGGACCTCTATTTTGGATCACCAACCACCCAAAATATGGTCAAACTTCCCATCACAACAGGGGGCATGTCTGGGTGCCAGGTGGAAGCCGTTAGATTCATCCATATTCATCCTACTTCGGCGGTTAGCAAGCGCCGATGTGGCGCATGGAGGTGAATCATCGCGACGGACACTCGTAACTGCTTCGCGTTCGCCAGCACTGTTTGCTTTCTTTTGAGGGGTCCACATACCTAACATGGTGTTTGGGGGTGTTCTTCGGGCGGCGTTTGGGTCCAGCTATTTTCTGAGAAGGTCGTTGGATCATAGGTGTTCAAGTCGCAAGCACGGCCAAAAGAATTGCACGCGACGCCATCAACAAGGTTGTGTGGTTCACATCCGAAGTCAATAGCCACGCAAGGCTTGGTGGTTGACCTGCAGGCCCTTTTGGTGGGAATCACACTTCTGCAAATATCGCACCTCTGCAAATGTTGTGTTCAGAGGCTGGTACTATTCTAGCTTCGTTGTACAGCTATCCTTTTTTCTGTTGTTGAGATGAAAGTCAAGACCTGTTTCTCAATGGATTCCAACTCCTGTACAGTACATGAAAACCAACAATCAAAACACCTGAAGGTCAGGGCGGCAGCCCGCAGCCTTCAGGTCTTCACTCCTGCCACATCCTGCCACCATCTTGTGTCCAGAGTTCTCTTTGATCTTTTGGCCTTTGGATGTTCACACTTCACTCGATCTGACCTCGACCAACAATCCCCCAAAGCCAATGCCGATCCCACCCAGACCCTTCAGTGCGAGAGCCCGAAAACACTCGTCCGATCCAACCCGGGGGTCTTCCCAATGAAGTCGGTGGAACCACGACTCGCGAGAAAGTGCCACTTTCACTTCATGTCCCAGGACTCGCACAGTCAAGAGAGACCGGGGGGTCCTGAGAGGGGCTTTTCCGTTTGGGCCGTCCGAACGGCCTGCGTCCGCCCAGTTCGAACGTCACGGCCGGCACTTGCCCCGCCCCCGCGCCTCTGCACAGATCAAGAACGTCCAGGACACCGCGGGCAAGATCGGCGACTTCGCGAACAAGATCCGCGGCATCGAGGCGAATTCGGCCGGGCGAAGTCGGTCGGACGGAGGTTTTGGGGGGAAAGGTGGAGGGGCACTTTTGGGGTCCAGAAGGCTTGTACCTTGGGAGTTGGAAGGGGTGAAAGGATATGGAATTGAAAGGCTGATGTATGGGGATGTCTCACTGGGCGGGTGAAAGAACTCCGTGCAGGGGGTTCATGGGGAATACTGAATGAAATATTGGGGGTTCTATCATGGGTTCCAGAAAGAACAAGGCACACGTGCAGGGGCCTAATACTCAAGGGGTTGTTCGAAAGGAGAATGTAATGAGTTTCACCAGGCGTGTGACTTTGGAATAGCCGAGCAAAAGGAACAGCTGGGAGCCGGAACTCTTCACATTGGTGCTGCGGTTCGGTCTTTCACATTCGCAGAATCGGTTGAGCACTAACTTCTGACTAACCGCTTAACTCGGCTCACGGGAGAACTGCGAAGGGTGCAGAAAAAGGCCACGAAGGCCGAGAAGCCTTTGGGTGAAGATGACCGGACTTCAGACTATGCCTGGGTGAACCCAAAGCAACTGTACCTTGCTGTATCATTCATGCAATAATTCGTTATACTCACAATTCTGGATCATGTTCATAAAATGGTAACTCAGATCCGTTTCGGCTCGAATCATCACTCACCTCAGGCACGTCCGTGTTCGGCCTCAGACCCCCAAATCACCCTTCTGGGGCCTGCCTTGAGCCCTGTGACGCCGGACTCTTCTTCCGAACTCCTCCCACCGCTGTGCCGCCTCCGGTCGCGCTGAGCGCCGACGCGACCCTCGTTTCCAGGTGGAGCTCGGGGAGGCCAAACAGGCGGCGGAGCAGGTCATCAGCACCAACACAGGCGACGTTCGAAGCTCCGGCCGCTGCGAACGGTGGAGGCCATCGCTACTATGTACTATACTATCAAGCTTTCGAGCAAAACGAAGCTACGAACGGGGCGAACCGGGCTTCCCGGGTGAACGGAGCGATCGGACGCGATGTCTCGGGGCTCCTGGCCGTACTACTAGGAGCAAGAAGCTACTAGTAACAATAAAGCTACTTGGAGAAAAAGGATGCTAGTAGTAGGAATTAGCCCAGCTGGAGACCCCAAAAGCAAGATACAAACCGGGACAAAAAGAAAAATCTGGAAACAGCTGCTGTTTTCAACACATCGACCATCTCTTCCTTGGACACCATCATCACATAACCGGGACACCATCACAAAATGACCAGGGCACCATCAAAACATGACCGAGACACCGTCACAACATGATTGGGACACCATCACAACATAACCGGGACACCATCACAAGGTGACCGGGACACCAACATGACATGACGGGAAAACCATCACAAGATGACCAGGACACCATCACAACATGACCGGGACACCAACATGACATGACGGGAAAACCATCACAACAGGACCGGGACACCATCAAAACATGACCGGGACACCGTCACAACACGACCGG